GACAGAAATTAAAGGAATGGAAAAAGATGTTTTGTGAAAATGGAAAGAAACAAACAAAAGCTGGAGTAGCAATACTTATACCAGACAAAATAGACTTTAAAACAAAGGCTATAACAAGAGATGAAGAAGGACCCAGTAATCCCACTTCAGAGTATTTACCTGAGGAAACCCAAAATGCTATTTTGAGGATACATGTGCATCCATGTGTTCATTGCAGCACTGTTTACAATGGCTAAGATGTGGAGGCAGCCTGGGTGTCCGTTGATGGATGAATGGATAAAGAGGAGGTGATACATATATACAATGGAATATTGTTCAGTCAGGGAAACGAATGTGTTCTTGCCATCTGCAGTGGCATGGATGGACCTGGAGGGTATTGTGCTGAGTGGGGTATGTCAGACAGCAAAAAAAACAGATGCAATGTGATTTCACTTATATGTGGAATCTAAGAACAAAGTTAACAAATAAAACAGAAACAAACTCATAGATACAAAGAACATATTGATGATTGCCAGATGAGTAGGGGGTTAAGGCAATGGGTGAAGAAAGGTGAAGGAGTTAAGAAGTACAAATTGTTAGCTACAAAAGAGTCATCAAGATGTGAAGTAAAGCACAGGGAATATAGTCAATAATATGGTAATACCTATGTATAGTGCTAAGTGGGTACTAGACTAGTCAGGGGGATCACTTCTTAAATTACATAAATGTCTAACCACTATGCTGTATACCTGAAATTAATATAAAATAATATTGAATGTCAACTGTATTGAAAAATTTTAAAGGGGGGAAAGTGAAGAATGGCAAAGGGGAATAAGAGTTTCTAATTTCCAGGTATAAAACAAATAAATTATAGGATGTAAGATATAGCATAGGAAATATAGTCAATAATATTGTGATAGCATGGTACGATGTCAGATGGTTGCTGGACTTATCATGGTGATCACTTCTTAAGTATATAAATGTTGAATAACTATGATGTACCCCTGAAACTAATATAATATTATATTAGCTATATTTTTAATAAAAGTCTATTTTTTTAAAAGTTTTCAATTTAGTTTTTACACGACTTTATTTTCCCTGGAAGAGAATCCCACATTTTATAATGGAATTTAATGGTAAACTTGGCTTCACAAGATAACCCTTTGATTTATTATTTGTATTTCTTGATAATTTTCTTTATTAGAGCTCAACTGAACATTACAATGATAGCAGTCATGTTTTAGTAAGAAGAATACCTATTTTGCCATCAAAACTCATCCTGATGAAGGAAAAGAACAGTTAGCTATGGGATTTGAACAAAAGTACATTAAAATAATTATATAGTATACCACTGGGAATAATATAGCTGTAACTGTAGCATAGAACACAAAAATATACTCAGATTACCTAAATTCTGTGTATGTTGTATTCACTGTAAATTATTCCTAAATTATAGAGAAATGATACCCCAGCCCATTGATTACTGAGGCTACATTACATTTTCTACCTTTAAATATGAAAAAGATATTGTAAATATGAGTTAATTTTTGCTCTAATGAAAAGAATATAAATTTTTATTTTGGGATATCATAAAAGTAAGCACCACTGTCCCTGAATAAAATATGCAACAAATTAGAGGTCCAATATCTTTTTTACACAGCTAGCTAAGTTAATAGTTCTGCTTTAAAACAAATAAAAATATATTTCAATTATAATTATCCTAGCATAGTTCTTAAAAGAAAATATTGATGCCAAAATATCAATATGGAAAGTTGTTTGTCTTTTAAAGAGATGTTTATTTACAAGGCGTTTATATCTGATAAATTATTCACAAGACTTTGGCTGAGGAGACTCATTCTCTCCTCCTACTGAAGTCATTTTGACTCAACAAGAGTGACAAGGACACTGTTCCTGCATTTGAGTTGCTTTACATAGATAGAGGAAGACAAGATCTACATACTTGGAAAAACTGAAAAGATGCCCTCGTGTTGTACAGGTGAATACATAGGCAAAGTGATTTAAAATAACAGAGAGAATATTGAAAAGGTGGAATCTGTAAAGAAAACCCAGCAAGATGAGCAAGATATGAGTGTTGGGTTTTCAAATGGTGTGGAATTTAGCTTGGTAGCAAATTAAGTGTGTTTCATGGGATATTTCCTCAGAGACCTAAACTTTTGGGCCTTTTAAAAATATTTACATAATATTAAAATGTGTTCCAGTTTTAGGAAATGCAGCACGATCTCTATTAGTAAAGCTTCTTGTAAGAAAGTCACCCTGCTGATGGAGCAGAGAGGGCAGAAAGGCCAGGCCCCTTTGACTCTCATGGGTCAGCGGGAAAGAGGGGAGGATGGCGGTCCCAGGGCTGTGCCTTCAGAATTGAAGGCAGAGGGTAGTGCATATCCCAGTGCCTGCAAGGTTTCTGTCTATTTGCCTCAGGAAAGGTGAAAGTAAGTTGTCCTGATGTTGCATAAAGGCTCAGAGACACATGCCACAGGGTACCCACAAAGTGGCACCCACGCCAAATTAAAGCCCATTTCCAGGAAGGCCATGGCTGCAGGTGAGACACTGTATGCTCCTCTTCATCAATAGGGGCAGTCCCTGCTCTTTTTAAGAGCCCTCCTCTTTTTCACTATGGTGGCCACTAGAGGGTTTTACATAAGATTGGTGATTAAGGAAACCCTCCTGCCACTCACAGGTGACCCAGGCCTCACTTCTCAGGTTCTGCGCAGCTGGGAGAGAGCAGCACTGAGTGCCGAGGCTGGAAAAGGAGTCAAGGGCCTGATCTAAGGGGCCTTGGACGCCATGCTAAGAAGCCTCTGCTTCACTTTGGGACAGTGGAGAACCACCGGAGCTGGGCACCACCAGGTGTGTACTGAGGCCCCACCAGATATAGAATCCTTCTGGTAGGGGGACATTTTATTCATTTCTGTGAAATGGCTTAACTACTAAAACAGGCCAACTGAAAAATGAAAAGGCGCCCACTTTGTATGTCCCTGAGTCGAACAAAAGAAGTTTCTTTCCTTTCTTCTTTGAGTGCCCAATGGCACAGGCACAGACAGAGATTCACAGCTAAGGAAGATGTGCAATGGTCTGGAGAGCAGCAGCCCATCCTGTGGGTGGAGAGACAGGAAGTGGGCCAACACTGTCACAAAGCCATTATCAGGCTGGCCCACCCCGAAGGCCTCTGTGAGAGTCCCCTGTCTGTGCATTAGCGGGGTTTCACTCTGCTCTGTGACTCTAAGAACCAGCATGGGCACTGGAGATAACAGGGGTTCAGTATTGGTTTATGAATGAATGAATGAGCAGAGGATGGTGTCTAGAAGAAAAGACCAGGGCAAGAACAGAGGGCATGAAGATCTTGCAAAGGCCAGCAGTGTTAAGGCCACCTGGATGGTGATTGAGGGGGTGGACAAGAGGCAGCGGCTTTAAGAACTACTCTGATAAGAGGCTGGACACTGATTGCCTGTGAGGACTGGAGGAGAAAAATGGGTCAAGAATGACCCGAAGGCTTCTGACCCAGGCAAATGGACTTGAAGTGGAAGAGCCAGATTTTGAGAGAGAATAATGAATGTGGTTTAGATCACATAAAGCACTTTACTCATTAGGGAGGAGTTTTAACTCCCTTATCACAAAGATAATTCATATTTATTACAAAAGCAAATATATCAAAAAACGCTTTGAAATGCAATTAAATTTGTTTATTGAAATAATGTAAACTGTGAGTAATACAGATTGTTTTCAGCATAATATAGGTATCATACATTTCTCCTTGTAATAGGTGATAGATAGATAGATGGGTGGAAGAAACACAATTGTAGAATAATCTAGAATAATAAATTGTATGACTAGGAGTTTCTCTAGGGATCAGGAAATCCAGCCCTCTTAACAGGTGAGGAATCTAAGGACCAGAGAGGGTGGCATCCTCTGTTCTGCAAATCTTTAGGGCACTGACCATGTGCCAGGCACTTACTTGGTGCTGGGCATATTAAACTGTTAAACAAACATGGTACCCATGCTCAAGGAGCTCATAGTCAGGCCAGTGTGTGATAGTGCCCAGTAAGCAGGAAATTAACTCACAGCCTAAATTTGCATTGCGAGAACAGAGAACAGCATGCGTAAGCTGCAAGGTGCACGCAATCCAGGCTTGGGGGCAGCTCTTAAAGGTCAAGTGTGAGCTGGCCTGAAAAGGATGAGCAGGAGTCCCAGAGACAAGGAGGCTGTGAAGCAATGGCACGGGAAGGCTGAGGCGAGGGAAAGCAT